CAAAAATAAATAAACATTAAAAAAAAAAATTAAAAATTAAAAAAATTTTAAAAACATCTGATAAAAACAGAAAGAAAAAATTCATCCTGTGGTAGCTGAGGCTAAATTTGTTGATTTTTCTTAATAAGGACCTGAGGGTCACTGGGTTGGGCAAGAAAGGCCAGATGATTTACTAAAATACCACCAAGTGAGACAAGAGTATACACAGTGTGCAAGAATACACAAAAACCATCTATCAACAATGTTAGCATCTAAGTGCAGACACAATTCTCAGAGTTGCAGGCAATCACGAGCTCAGCACTACCCATTGGATTTATAACCTCAGACCATAGCAACTGCACAATGGTCAAAACTGTCAACATGCCTTTAATTCATTCCATCAAAACATTTGGTCACACTTACTTGGTCACCACAAGTTTTAAGAACTTAGAGTCAGAAACATAACCACCCATTTCATAAAGGGCAGTATTACTATTTACTTCGTAGATATTTCAAATTTATATGATACATTACTGCACCTGAAAGAAGACTACATTTTGTCTAAATACAGTGTCTGAATTTACCTCATGTTGATATGAAAAGAATTATTCTTATTGACTTCAAACCCTCCAGACCAAATACAATTGGGAACATCCATCAATCTGACACACAAGAGCTGATCATAATCATTCCGAGGCCAATGGAACACCACGCTGGAACCAGGAAGGGTGGAAATGTAACCTTCAGGATTGGCTGTTCCCTAAAATATAAAGGATCACTGTCTTTAGTCAACAAATACAAGTCAAGACAGTAAATGTTTGCTGAGTAACTGCCTAGTCTGGGCCTTGCTCTCTACCATGAGCTACTTAGGGTACCAAAGGCATAAAATGGTTATTCACACCACAAAACTTAACAGTGTTGATGGGGAGATAAATCATGGCATTAAAACCCACTGTACTGTTAAATAAACACTGGTCATTCTTCAAAAGTAAACGACTTACCTGTCCTCTGGCAAATTCCCTCTGTGCAAATGCAAGCTTGTGAGATGATTTATTATCTAACAGGTACCGGGGGGCAAAGATGACCATACAGGTGTCAATATATCGACCTCGGCCTTTCTTGACATCAATACCTACAAATAATAAGAACCACTTCCATGAATTCATCAGAAGACAGAAAATCCATGGTCCAACAAAAAACAATAGGCTTCACAATTACTTAGTTTCTCTGAGAAAATAATTATGTCACCCAGAGCCTCTATGAAACCTTCCAAGAATGGAATGAAATCAATGAGTACACTCAAAGTATTATTCTTCATGCCCCCTCAGGTCTTGAAAAGTCTCAGTGGTGATACCAATGTTGTTGTAATTCCTGGTTTCTCCCTAAAGGGTGCACCATCACAACAGCAACTAAGGCACGCAGGTGTTTAGCCACAGATACCTATGGTCTCCATTTATGAAGTGGACTACTAAGATAGTTTATGTAATACACTTCTGTTTACATCTGAAACACAAAATTTCCTCCTTGAGAACTTGCTCCTTTTACATGATATTGCAGAAATTTCAGATTACTTAACTGGATCCTGCACGGCCCTGAATGCAGAGGACTCTTCTCTAGTACTTTCTTTTAGCTCGCTGCCCAAGAACCCAGCTGGGACATAAAGTTAAATATCATAGGATATACTCATTCACAAGCTGAACGATTCCAGCACCTACCATGTACTGAAAAAATAGAACAGCAAACAAAACACGTGCCAAGAAAACAAAGTCATAATCAATCAGATGGAAATCTCAAAACATTGGATTCCAAAGGAAGAAAGAAGGGAAACAGCATAGAATTATCTTAAAAACTCTGATGACAATTTTAAAAACTACAAAACTCAGTGGGATAAGTTATTCATTCATTCAGACAATAAATAGAGCAACTATATTCAAGGTACTAGGGTTATACAGTGATAGCAATGTTTACAGCTAGAAATAATTTTAAAAAATAATATTTATTGAAACTTTAAGTAGGCGCCATGTTCATGTGGAGCCCAACATGGTGCTTGAACTCACAACCCTGAGATCAAGACCTGAGCTGAGATCAAGTCGGATGCTTTAACCGGTTGACTGAGCCGCCCAGGCACCTGTTTATTGAATTCTTAATGTATGCTATGTTTCTACCAAAGGCCCTACGTTTAATTCTCATAACATGTCATGAGTCAGTATTTTCACTTTTCACTTTCTAGATGAGGAAACTAAGGCATACGGGAAGCTAGGCAACTTGGACGAGGTCAGACAGCCAGTAAGTGGCACAGCTGGGTTCAAACCCAGGCACACTGCCTCAGGAGCCCTGCTCACATTCTGATGAGACATACATAAGGACCGTAGTCAGCAGTTAACAAGTGTTAAGAACCATAAAAAAGGAAGAGATCTTAGGACAGGACAACTAGGTTCCCTGAATGTCCCAACATAACCCCAAATAGAAATATTCCAGTCTGTTAACTCCATAATTCACCTGTACTGGCTTGAAAAACCTGGTGTTGCTTTAACCTAAGGCTTCAAACTACCTAAAAGACTGAGCAAATCACAAAAACAAAGAGAGTCTGAAATTCTGTATCTAAGAAATGCTGAGTAATACTTAAACAGGGAGATATACCCTATCATTTTTTTTTTCTGTAACAGGCAGAAAAGCATTGTCAGAAATCTATATTGATAGCTAGCTGATCTCAACCACTACAAAGTCTGCCCACAACAAATATATTCTTTTTTTTTTCTTCTTTAAGTAGGCTTTACACCTAGCATGAAGCCCAACGCAGGCTTGAACTCAGGACTGTGAGATCAAGACCTAAGCTGAGATCAAGAGTCAGACCCTCAACAGACTGAGCCACTCAGGCACCCCAGGATATGTTTAATTTGATATTATAAAAAAAGACTACTGTATCAATGCCCAATTTTTGGAAAAAGGCAGGCTTTTTGTTTCCTTTTTCATCTTAGATAGCCTTGGCAACCCCCCAATAAATATCTTTATCTGATAAGATAAAAATGTACAAAATCCTTCTTTTTGGAGGCACATATAAGGCTAACTGGCAAGGTCCTCCCAGGCTCTTTATCTTGGGACTTTGCTTTCAACTATTCCTGACAGGGAGCTAGCTATCTATCCAATTCTTCAAAAATATTCAAGCGAGAGATTCCACAAATTTCCATGATAATACATGCCAAGATCTCATGACGCTAGGAATTACAAAGTCCTATCCTACCCCTTCTATTCCTTTCTTTGGTGTAACAACAAAATTCATATCACAGTATTGTTCCAAAAAACATACGCAATGACTTTTAATAAGCACTCCTCGCATAAAAGTTTCTACGTGTGCTCACTGCGTATTTCTGACTGGAGACTTATGTCTCCGCAGGAACTCTGTGGTCCCTTAGTGCCAGCCGCTTCAGAAGGGCACAACTTCCATTCCTCCCTCAACCTCCCTTCTGGCAGCTTCTAGCCAACCTCTGGTATCTTTCTTTAGGAACTGTGTCAAGGGCAAGATATCCCAGTAGACAGTCAAACACAGCATGAAGCAGCCTTTGCTTATTCAAGAGAGGAGCAAACAGATGCAAAGACAAAGGACAGAAAATGATCCTCAGCCAACACATACACACACACACGCACAAACACACACACACTTTAAAAAAAAAAGGAAAGAAAGAAGGAAGGAAGGAGAGGGAAGAGGGAAGGGAAGAGGGAAGGGAGGAGGGAAGGGACGTGGGAAGGGAGGAGGGAAAGGGGAAGGGAAAGGAAGGGAAAGGAAGGGAAGGGTCCCCAGCTGGAGGATCACAAAGTTTATTTCTTCTACTAAAAATCTTAATACCAACCTTAAAGAAGACAGTTTCCATATCAAGGGAGAATGCATATAAATTCATGTTCCAAAAACAGAAGAAGGAAGCTGGACTTGGAAGAGACTCTTGCTAACATGCCCTCAAACAAATATACCCTTTGACCCTCCATGGGATTCAGGGTAAACAGCTTCATACCACCTTAGTTCTTCCTTCTATAAAGTGACTATATCTACACCGTCCAATTCCAGCTGCCATTGATCATGAACGGCTACTTAAATCCATTAAGTACAACGAAAGATTCAATTTCTTGGTCACACTTACCACGTTTCTTAGCAATGTACTCTCGCGCGCGTGCTTGGTGGCCACGTGTGGCTAGCACTGCAGGGCTGGACAGTGTGAAATGGAGCACTGCCATCATTGCAGAGAGTTCAATGGGCAGCACAGTTCTAGATGGTTTTCCAACATCCAACACTCAACAGAGCTTTGAGATGTTTGGAAATTATGTACTAAAGGAAGGGTACGCTGCTAACATATTAAACCCGAGACATATTTAAATCAAGCTTAACTCTTCAGAAAATCTTTGGAGTTGAGCATTCCTGATGGCTAGGAGGCATACAGACCAGTGTTCCCCGCTTCCCTCCCCAACTCTCCACCTCCGCAAGCTAAGCTACTTTACGGGCTTCTAATTACTATAACTGCTAAGTGCATTTTATTATATTTTCTGCTTCAAATGCATACACCCCAATTAGAATCCTACTTCTGACCCAGACTTGCCCTTTGCGTCTGGGCAAGTCACTTAACCTCTCTGCTTCAGTTTCAAGGTGAACAATGCTTCTTGCCCTCTGAGGGTTTGCAAGTTTTAATGAATGCGTGGGAAATGGTTGGAGGATGAAAAGCATTCTAAGTGTTCCTATTATTCCCATGAAAAACAAGGATTCAAGCCAAACTGATACTTTCCTAACACAGGTGAGTCTGAAATTAAACAGAGCCCCAGACCTCAAAAGGGCAGTGTTTACGTGGCTCCTGAGATCCCTAGGAGAATAGATCTGTGTTGATATCAATCTAGCATTCGGAGAACAGATACCTGACCCAATGCCAAACGAGAAAATCAGCACTTGCAGCCAGGCCAAAACGTATGGCCAGCTTATTCCTCCAAGCCTGAGGTCATCGGCCAATGGTTCTGATTCTCCCGCTGCTCCAAATGTAACCCACCAATGTTATAGATCAGCCCTGGGCGGTTTCCTTGCTGGATGACTTTCAAAGCTCGGACACCACTACCGCCATCCAGTGAGAAGCCCTGACACCAGCCCGGCATGCCTTCCGGATGAATCCCCCTTCCGATTCGCATCGTGCAGCTGTGGGGCAGAAAAGCAGAGATACATGTATTCATCCATAGGAAAGTCTCATCCACCTGTTCTAATCAGGGACCACTGCTACAGCTATCACCCGAAACAGAACTCTGATACTGGCTCCTCCTCACTCTCGGGCGATTCCCAAACACAGCAGGCCAATAACCAGCGGGCAACACCCTATCTTCGAGGCAGCCACGGCACCACAACGCATGAAATGTGCTGACATCTATAGCTAGACACGCTAGGAGAAGATTCAAGGATTCTATGAGCATAAAGCATAAGGAAAATGCTACGATACCTCATTCCTCTGAAAAACAAGAGTTCAAGGCAAACCGATACTTTCCTATCGCAGGTGTTTCAAGGGTTTGTGAAAATACCTTGAATGTAAGAGAAAAGCGTACACGTGGTTCTGCACACACAAAAGTACAGAAGAGGCAGCTGACGGTATGTTCTTTCTCAGGCCTGGTACTGTTACAATGGCAAAGCATTGTTACGTTGGCCAGTGTCTTGTCACGGATCCCGAAAAACGTAATTCTTGAGTATGTGTTCCGGGTCTACCACTAATGGCCATGTAACCTTGGACGAGTAACTCTCTCTGAGCCTCAGTTTCCTCATCTTAAAGTAAAACAGTATTTCCTGCCCTGTCGAATCCATTGGGATGTTGACAGAATCAAAGGTGATGGTCTATGCAGAAACGCTTTGGGAACTGTGGAGTTCCCTGGATACGTCAAAGTGGGTCACAAATGTCAAGTCCTAGATCTGACACTGTCAGGATCCCCTCAGGAAAGGTGTGAGACATGGCTTGCCGATGTGCCAAGTGGCTGTATGTGTCTCCCACCATGTCTAGTACCCCGGTCAAGCCCCCCGACTCCAGGGCCAACCGAGCCTGCAGCCCTCCCTGGGAGACATGTCTGCGCCCACTGGCACCCAGCGCTCCCCGAGCCTTCCTAGGAAGGCTGCGGCACATCTCTCCTCCTCTGTGACAGCAAATGGCACTGTAGCGCCATCACCTGCGCTCATGTCTCTTTGGAGGAAGGCTCCAGATTAGAAGACCCTATAAAAAGCAGAATGTCAAAACCAAGAACAAAAGGGAATTCATGCTCCTACCACATGCTCAAAGGCAGGTCATCTAACTCTCCCAACGGGTATTCTTTCCGGCCTTTCAGCACGCGATGAGGGCTCTGAGATCTTGAAATGGCACCGTTTATGTCAAGGGTAAAAGCGATGGACCCTGAGCCCTTACACAAATCGACCTGGACTGGGTCAGTGGGGTGGCTGTTTTACCAAAGGGCCAGGCTGTGTCCCCCTCTGATGCCAGCTCTGCTGCCTGGGCTGAGGGCTCCGTGCAGGAGAAAACCAGGCAGAGAAGGGAAGGGAACCCGTGGGGGCTCTGTTCACTGGCAGAGTTACGAATAGAACTGCTTCAATACATGTAAAATAAAACTAGCTTTCGTTACCAACCCACCAAATGGTTTATTTTCAATATCAAATGACACAGAAATTAGATCCAAAAAAATCCCATTAGGTCATGGTCCTATTCCCCTGCCAAGTCAGGACTGTTATCTACAGTGTATTTCTACTTACACGGACACACTAGAGCCTTTGCTAATTTTTTCCCTCGCCTAGGAGCTTACTTCCCCTTTCCATAAATTACTGTACTCACAGGTTGGGCTGCTCTTTGTCCGCGTAGCAGAATAAGAGAGGGCTCAGGCTCCGGGCCAGCTCATGCTCTTCGAACTGGCCTGCAGTGTCTGTCTTTGCATTGTCCTGTCTGAAGATCAGCGGTAACCCTTTAGGGAGGAGGGGAAAGTTTACATCAATCCCACCCGGTCTATGCAAGACAGATGTACGTGGTAAAGGAAAAAAAATTGTCACAAGGGAAAATAGTGAAAACTGAATTTATTTTGTGGGCTCAGTTTGTTGTCTGAAAGGACAGTTTTGACCATGATGAAGCACTTATTATGGAGGCAGGAGAGTTTCAGCAGCTTAGACTGTTGAAGTCATCTATTTGCATTGGCTCTACTCGGTTAGCGGAGCAAATAAATCTGAATTCCCATGACCAGCGCCAAAGGCCCAGTTGAGCAGCCTCTGTACATACCTGTTTTGTTAATCAGCCAATATGGAGCAGAAATGAAGATCTTCAAGGATCCTTCTGCTCGACACACAATCCGGATGGTGAGGTTCAGCTGCCGCCGGTTGATGTCGTAGAGTCGCATTCTTACCATGTAGTTTTGGGTTCCCGGTGGAATGAGCAATTCTTTACAGAGTGGGAAGTTCTCCAGCGATACCCCTGAAGAAGATACAAGCTACTGTCTTCCTGGTTTCTCACTTGTGTTTGTCAAAATAGTCCAAAGCCAAACAAAACTGGGTCCTTCTTGGAAAAATCAGAACTATATATGGCACTGGCAAAAAATGTCATTAGAACGGCCATTTTCCCTGCACTGGGGCGAGAATAAATATGAAGCAAACCAGATGGCCTGGAAGGTACAGGAGAGAGTCTGAACTGCACAATCAGAAGGATGGAAATACCAAAAATCTATCAATAACAGCTATGATTATTGTGAGCTTACTCCTCATCAGGCCCTGAGCTGGGCACCTCAAACACAGTAAAGGCAAGTACAGGGTAACAGAGTCAAGGATTCTCCAGCTCCACTGGCTGGCTTCCGATTCCCAGTCTGTCCTTACCAGCTGTGCAACGTGGGGAAAGCTAATCTGCCAAGTGGGGAGAATACCAGGAGGTCTGTCACAGGGTTGTTATTAAAAGTGATAATCCACGTGCAGCACGGCTGGGAAGAGAAGAGTGCTGGGTGTGCGCACAGTGGTCGGGGTGGGCGGTGGGGAGACGTTGCCATTTCCCGCAGGGGTCAAGAAACATTGTGGAAGAGGTTGCCTAAGTGCAATGCGTGTGAGGTTCCGCATCTGTAAAATGGGGATAACAGCGTCTGCCTGAGACAGGGACTGTGAAATGCAATGAGGTGACACAGTGAGATCATTCATGAAACTGTGCAAATATCTACGTCATTACCTTTCAATGTGTCTAAAACAACCTTAAAAAAAACATGTCCTGGGGCGCCTGGGTGGCTCAGTTAACGTATGACTCTTGGTTTCAGCTCAGATCATGAGCTCATAGTTTGTGGGGTTGAGCCCTGTGTCAGGCTCTGTGCTGACAGTGCAGAGCCTGCTTGGGACTCTCTGTCTCCCTCTCTGCCACTCCACTGTTCATGTGTGCACTTTCTCTCTCAAAATAAATAAACTTAAAAAAAAAAACAAAAACCCACAAATCCTTAAGTGCTGCAAATACAATGATTCTTGACTTTGACTTCATCCACCCCTAGTGAAAATCACCAGGTGCATGAAACACCCCAGACCTCAATTTCCTCATTAGTAAACAGGACAAGTAACTACTGTAAGGATGACATGAGATGACGGGTATGAAAGCCCTTGACAGGACGCCCAGAGTACAGTCTATACTGAGCAAATGTTTTCTCCTTTCCTGAAAAGAGGAGAGATGTAGGATTTTGCACATTTTACAGTCAGGAAAACGTAAGGTTTGAAAAGATGAAATGACTTCCCATTGAAATCACATCAAGTAAGCAACACAAGAAAAAGGCTCTGTTGAGTGCTTCCTCTGTAAATCTTTTGGATCTGCTCAGGTTTTTTCTTTTGGTAATTTTCTAAGAAGCTTTTTTATTTCAAGTGCATAAATCCTTTGAGCTCGGTTATGGAGATAGCCTATGTGTGATAATTTTTCTAAAATGTTTACCAAATGATCACAAAAGACTCATGGACGTTTCCATAGCGTTACCACAGATGATTATCTGACTAAACCCTTACCTAATTCAATGTTCTGGGATGTGTCAGCTGTGTGCAGGGCCACCTCTTTGCCAGGTTTCAATGTCCCATTAATTGGCATTCCTTTAACATAAAAATCAAGTTCACAAGGTAACAAGTTGCAGATGACCACAGTTGGCAGGAGATATATGGTATGCCCGGGTTGTCTGAAGATCTGCTTTGCACTGTCAGAAAATATGTTTGAGGGCATATAATCTGGGTAATTCTCCTTCTTTATGGCTACACAAAACCTACGAAGACAAAGCAGTGGAAAAACCATCAGCCTAAATAAAGAACTTGAATTTTTCTTCCTTAGTGGAGTATGAGAAAGCTTAACACTAAACCGGTTCAACAATTCAGTAGGATATTTGCAGTTTTCAATCTCAGACACATTTATACTGAGGTATATAGTTAAAAATACAGTAAGATGTGTAATTTTAAATGTTCAGTTTGGTGAGTTTTGACAAATATGTATACCTCGTTAACCACGACCCAACACCGTTATAGAATCTTTCTCTCACTGCAGAAAGTTCCCTCCTATCCCTTTCCAGGCAATATCCTCTCCTAAGAAAGAAGCAACTACTGTCTGACACTTATCACTTATATATTGGTTGAGCCTGTTCTTGAATTGCATGTAAATGGAATGATACAGTATAGGTTACTCCCCATGTCTGGCTTTTTTTGTGTGTAAAATGAAATTTCTACAAGATGCAGCCATGCTACTATATGTATCAGAATTTTGTCCACATGCCAGTATATGAAAATACCATTTTTTATTTATTCATCATTCTGTTGACAGCCAATTGGGTTGCAGCTAGCCAACTGGGTTGTACCTCCAGATCAATTTAGCAAGAATGGAAATCCTAACAACATTTTGTCTTCCAATCCATGAACTTTGTTATCTTTCCACTTAGTTACTGGGTTTTCTTTAATATCTCTTGGCAAGGTTTTGTCACTTCTAGCATTGAAGGCTGGCACATAATTCCTTAGATTGATTCCTGGGTAATTAATGTTTTCTGGTGCTATTGTAAGTAGTGTCTTTTTAAAATTACATTTCCAATTGTTCATGGCTAGAATATAAGAATACAATTGATTCCTATATCTTAAATCTTGAAATCTTGATAACTTTATTAGGCCTCATAATCTTATGGAGTCCATAGTTCTCTACATACATGACTGTGTCATCTGCATATAACAAGTTTTAGTTCTTTTCAGATCTTTAAGCTTTTTCAATTTCTTGTTTACTTATTTGTCCCTATTACAATGGCTAGGACTGCTACTGCAATGTCAAATGAAGTTGCTGGTTCTCAATCTCAAGGAAAAAAAGTTTAAGTATAATGGTAACTGTAGGTTTACGACAAATGCCCTTAGGTAGACTGTAATATTCCCTTTGGTTGCTAGTTTGCTGAATATTAGCATGAATGGGTGTTGTAAGCTTTTTGTTTATTTGGCATTTAATGAGATAATCTGATAGGTTTTTCTCATTTAGTCTTTTAGGTTAATACAGTAAATTACATATATCAATTTTCAAATGTTAAAATAATCTTACATTCCTGGAATAAACTTCACTTGCTGGATTTCTATTTGGTAACAGTTAGGAATTTTTGCATCTCATGTGGGAATACCAGTTTGTAGTTCCTTTTTTTTTTTTTTTTTTTTTTTTTTTTTTTTTTTTTTTTTTTTTTTTTTTTTTTTAAATAATATCTATGCCAGTTTGGGTACCAGGTAGGTATATGCTGGCCTCGTAAAATAAATGAGGAACTGTTCCCTCCTCCCCTGCTTTCTGAAAGAGTTTACCTAGAACTGGTATTATTTCTTCCTAAAATGTCTGGTAGAATTCACTAGTGGAGCCACATGGGCCTAAAGTCCTCATTATGGGAAAGCTTTTTATTAAAAATTAAATTTCCGGGGCGCCTGGGTGGCGCAGTCGGTTAAGCGTCCGACTTCAGCCAGGTCACGATCTCGCGGTCTGTGAGTTCGAGCCCCGCGTCGGGCTCTGGGCTGATGGCTCAGAGCCTGGAGCCTGTTTCCGATTCTGTGTCTCCCTCTCTCTCTGCCCCTCCCCCGTTCATGCTCTGTCTCTCTCTGTCCCAAAAATAAATAAACGTTGAAAAAAAAATATATTAAAAATTAAATTTCCTTAGAACTACCCTATGACCCAGCAATTGCACTACTAGGTATTTATCCACAGGATACAGGTGTGCTGTTTCGAAGGGACACCTGCGTGTTCATAGCAGCACTATCAACAATAGCCAAAGTATGGAAAGAGCCCCAATTTCCATCGATAGATGAATGGATA